GTTTAGGGTTAGGTTTAGGGTTAGGTTTAGGGTTAGGTTTAGGTTAAGGGTTAGGTTAAGGGTTAGGGTTAGGATTAAGTTTAGGGTTAGGTTAAGGGTTAGGTTTAGGGGGGTTAGGTTTAGGGGTTAATTTTAGGTTTAGCGTTTACAGCGTGCTTCTGTCTCCGCGCTGTTGTCGCCCTGTTGATGACGTCAGCGACGCGGTTTAATCAGGCACGGCTTAGTCAAACGCAGTTTTGTGGTGGAACCCTGGAACTCCTTATCTAGCTTGCCCTGCTCGATTAATTACCTTATCTTGCCTTGTTGGATTCATAGTTGGAAGTTTTCTGCTTACAACATTTGGAGTATTTTCAGCCAAAGGCTGTTACAGGTTTGTGGGAGATCTTTTCTCCAAGCCGGAGAGTTGAAAGGGACGTTGGGGGCACAGCTGGTATTAATAAAGGGACTCATACCTGTTCTCTGGTTGTGTAGCCTTTGTGCCACGCTCCGGGTCATCGCAGGCACTCTGACTGGTTTCTTCTCTTGCCCTAGGAACAAAGTATCACGGCACAGCCAGAAAACGTCCCCAAACTGATTTCGACAAGAAACCTTAGGACAGTCTTCTGGACCTACGTGCAGCTTTTGCAAGGAAAGTTGAACTTCCTGTTCTATGACCTCCGGAAAAACTCCTGTGCTGAGGAGGACCATCCGCCTGGGGTTGCCTTTCCTCCTTAGCACCTTGGCCACGTCAAGCGGGCATTGAGTAACCCTGCAGGTGGGCTGGCAAGAGACATCGACAAATGCAGCTATTGGAGGAGAAAAGCCACCTGGACGCTCGGGTGGAAGAACAGGGCTGACCAAGCCCTCAGAATTGTGGGGGGGGGGGAGGGCTGATGCTAAAAGGTGGGGGAGAAAAAGAAGAGGGGAGGGGGCGTTGTGTTAACCCTGGAGATCCCAATTCTCTGCATTTAGTACCAACTTGCTTCAGCTGCCTGCAAAAAAAACCCCAAACCAAACTCGAGGCTTACGGAGTTGGGCAAGTCTGCCTCTCCCCCCTAAAATGGTTTTGGCATCTTTCTCCTCTAACCCGGTCGATGTCCTCATGGAATAAGCACCTCCAATGAACTCTACGGAAACTCAGTGGAAAAGATGAGGGCATTCAGACCATCTTGCTCGAACAATTCTGGGCCATCTGAGTCGGAATCAGCGGAGCAACCTCATTGCTCCCCATAACGTTATCTTGTGCAAACCAACTTCTTCGTCATGAAGGTGGTTATCTTATTAATTAGTCATTAAGGACGAAGATATTCTGGGCTTTGCAACAGAGGCTCTACAAGGGCCCCTTAATCATTATTATTTTTTGCAGCCGTGACCTAGGATTTAAGCATTTCTCAGTGCAAGGGTCAGCAACTTGCGGCTCTGGAGCCGCATGTGGCTCTTTCATCCTTCTGCTGTGGCTCCCTGTCGCCAGTCGGCTCCACAATTGATAGGGCTTTCAGTTAGGACAGGTAAAGGAAAACGGATGCCATGCTAGGAAGAGACTCTATGTTGCGGGAACTGGATTTCCAGTCGGCTTCAGAACTGAACAGAGGGACTTCCAGTTAGGACCTTGGTGGCTCTTTTGGGTGTTCCAAGGTTGCTGAGCCTTCTCTTAGTGGGCGTGTATATACTGGGGTTTTCTTCAAGGACCAGAATTGAAACCTAGAGTAGGGGTCTCCAACTCCTGGCCCAGTACTGGGCCGCACAAGAGGCTGGGCAGTACATGCATGCGCAACCAGCGATGGCACAGTTCTCCCTCCTTACCCTGCCGGGCCATAATGGTTGGGGACCGCGGACCGAGAGCATCTCCTGGCAAACTACTACGCCCAGATAAATTCCAGACCTACTTTCCTGCCTGTGGATTCCATTCTAATAAACGTCTCTTATGAAAACCACATCTAGGCAATACCATTTGGAGGGATCGGGGGAATTTGAGAATCAGCAAAATGTTTACCTGGATGTCCTCACTTTATATCAAGAAGCTGCAGGGGGAGGAGGGGGAGGAGAAGAGCAGCCGAGCATTTTCTGATTAAGGTAGGGCCCTCTAAAATTGGCAGCTTTTAAGACTGATGAACTTCCAACTCCCAGAATTCCCCAGCCAGCATGGGTTGGCTGAGGAATTCTGGAAGTTGACGTCCACCAGTCTTAAAATGTTTCCACGTTTGGAGACCTTTGGATTAAGGGATCATGGCTTGTCCGGGTAATTTGCGGCAAGGTGTCCAAAATGTCTTCAGTTGTCTTCTTCTCCTGCAAAGGTGTCCTTGGAGCGATAAGTACCATATTTTTCAGAGTATAAGACGCACTCCTGCCCCCCAAAGTGGGTGGAAATGACGGTGCGTCTTATACAGCAAATATTGCGGGGGGGGGGAGGGTGTTTAGTGCGGTGCCAATCAGCTGTTCTAGAACGGACAACAGTGGCAAACAAGCGCTGCCGAATGGGCCAGGTGAATACCAGATGGATGCTGGAAGGCAGAGGCAAAATTATTTTTCCTTGCTTTCCTCCCCAAAAGCTAGGTGCATCTTATAGTCCAAAAATATGGTAGGTCAGAATGGAAAGTAAATACAATTCAGCTACAGGTGGTTCTTTCTTATAATTCTGACATCCCAGCCAGGTATGGATCAGGAAATCTACCAAGGAAGGAATGAAACCTGCTAATTATTGCCATTACATGATCAGTAATGATCTTATTCAGTTTTTTTTTAAAAAAAATAACTATGATGGGATATATATATTTAACCAGCACAAGAAGATCTTGGATAAACAGGGTAATTGAGTTCTTATTGCTGCTTTGGCCAGTGATACATATTGGAAAAAGCTTTGGGAGAATTATAGGCTTGTGATCTCAAGCATAACCCTTTTCTTGCTTACGTACAAAGATCATAAACCAGCCTCCTTGTACAGGTAGTTCTTGATTTATGACCGGTTGCTTAAAGACTGTTTGAAGTTCCAACAAAACTCCAAAATGGGATCAATCAGAATAGAGCTGGAAGGGACCTTGGAGATCTTCTAGTCCAACCCACTGCTCAAGCAGGAGACCCTATACCATTTCAGACAGATGGCTGTCCAGGCTCTTCTTAAAAACCTCCAGTGATGGAGCACCCACGGTTTCTGGTGGCAAATAGTTCCACTGGCTAATTGCTCTGACTGTTAGGAAATTTCTCCTTAATTCCAGGTTGCTTCTCTCTTTGTTTAGTTTCCATCCATTGTTTTTTGTCCTGCCTTCTGGTGCTTTGGAGAATAAGTTGACCCCCGCTTCTTTGTGGCAACCTCTCAAATCCTGAAATCATTATATCGTTATAATGGGATCAATGACACGAATTCAATGTTCCGATGTCCAGATGCACTCCAGCGTCACATCACTGCATTATGGATACTCAGCAACTAGCCTGCATTTAGTCACAGCACCCCCACAGTCACAGGACTATGATTTACAACATTGGGTTTTTTTTTTTGCCAGAAACTGGTATTTACTGGAAAAACCCATCCCATAGCAAACAATGGGTTCACTTAACAACTGTGGCATTCACTTAATGACCGGCACAAAAATGTTGTAAAATCAGGCATGGTCATATGGCGATGCACTTGTTGGACCATCATTGCTTGTGTAATACATACAGCATCATCTCCCTCTGTCCGTCCGTCCATCCATCCATCCATCCATCCATCCATCCATCCATCCAAATAGGGCATCATTATTCTTGCCATCCCCAACCATTAAAGAGACTTTTTCAAATTCATAGTCTTGAGATAATTACACACAAACTCCCATTTCATTTTTCTTTGGACATTTCTAAACAGCGAACAGGACAGGAACCCCCCCCTCCCAATGTATCTTTACTATCCTGAGAGATTAATTGAGCTGAAACACAAACTGTTTCCAATTCACTCTTGAATTATTATTTCTTTTGCTCAAGGACTTGAATCCCGGGCTGCTGGGCCCCCCTCCCCCCCCCCCCCATCGGAAAGATTAACCA